TGAAAAAGAAACAAGAATCATAACTGCTCCTAATGAAACCCAAAGTCTGAACATAAGAGTTAAACTTTTTATATCATTGTCTCGGGGCCTGTTTTAGGCCATAGAGGGATTTCTTTAACAAACATACCTTTTCCACAGTTGATTTTACCTCATAACCTTTTGGTTGACTCATATAAATAGTCTCCTCAAGGTTTCCATTTAAGAAGGCTGTTTTTACATCCAACTGATCAAGCTCCCAGTTAAAATGAGTAGTTAAGGCAAGAAGATTTCTTATAGAAGTGTATTTAGCAACAGGAGAAAAGATTTCATTATAATCTATTCATTCCTTTTGAGTGAACCCCTTTGCAACAAGTCTTGCTTTGTATCTTTTATTTTCAGTAATAGGATCTCTTTCTTTTATCTTAAAAATCCACTCACAATCAACAACCTTTTAATTTTTAGGTTTGTTGACAAGGATCCAAGTTTTATTTTTGATTAAGGAGTCCATTTCTTCATTCATAGCATCTTTCCATATCTTGGAATCAGTACAGGTTACAGCTTCTTCAAAGGTGGCAGGTTCTGAATTTAGAGAATTTAGGACAGAAAATAGGGTAACAAATTCATCATTATTATATCTGGTGGATGGAATCCTATTTCTTCTGTCTCTATCTTTTGTTAGCTGGTAATCAATGAGAGAAGGATTATTATATTTAGTCTCAGATTCAGGTTCACTCAGATCTGCTTAACATCAGACTAGGAAGTCTCCACCTTAATAAAATCATTTTAATCATTAGGATTATTTTCTGGATTTTCAAGAACTGTTTCTTTCACAGGTATATATCCAATAGGTTCAGTTTCAGATTGTATTTTGCAGGGAAACTCATTCTCATTGAAAATAACATTTCTACTAATGATCACTTTAAAACCATTTTGACTCTTAAGCTAAAGCCTGTACCCTTTAGTTTCTTTCCCATATCTCAAAAAAGCACATTTTTGAGATCTTGGTTCAAGCTTACCTTCATTTTAAGTCTACTATAATATGGTGAAGTATTTGACCACAGTGTTTCAGGGATTTGGAAGTCAATGGCACTAGAAGGACTTCGATTTACCAAAAAGGTTGCAGTTTTTAGAGCTTCTCCCTAAAAGAATTTTGGAAGCCCTGAACTGTGTAACATACATTTGACCTTTTTCTAAAAGGGTCCTATTTATTCTTTCAGCTACCCCATTCTGCTGAGGGGTGTATGTCACAGTTCTATGACTTAATATTCTAGATTCTTTACAAAAGGAATCAAATTCCAGATTACAAAACTCAAGGCCATTGTCAGTCCTTAGTGCTTTGATATTCTTATCAGTTTGATTTTCAATCATAGTTTTCCATTGTTTAAAATTTTGGAAGGTATTAGATTTTTGTTTTAATAAAACAGTCCATGCTTTTCTAGAAAAATCATCCACTATGAGTATATAGAATCTAAATCCACTAAGGGTATTAGTGGATGCTGTACCCCACATGTCAGCATGAAGATAGTCCAAAATAAAGGTGGATTTATGAGTTCCAAATTTAAAGGGTAATTTACTCTGTTTCCCAATTACACAGTCTTCACAAAAGCTTAGTTTTTCAAAGTTATCTTTTTCCAAAAATTCCAGTTTGTTTAAAATAGTTAATCCCTTATCAGACGTGACCAAGTCTCCTGTGCTAGATTAAAGACTTATCACATTGTGAATCAATAGCTGCAGAGTTGTAACCTACCAGAGGTTCAGCTTGCAGAGTGTAGATACCATTGATCTTAGGAGCAGAGACAACTTCTCTGTTATTAGATATCAGCTTGATAGAGCTTTTATGGATTCTTATGTCATAGTTTTTATCTAACTCTCCCAGAGCAATTAGATTTCTTTTTAGTTCAGGCACATACCTCACTTTTTCTAGTTTGAGGACAAAATTATTTTCCATCAAGAGATCCATCTTTCCCATCCCTTTTATCTGACAACTCATGTCATTTCCCATCTGCACTTGCCCCCCCATTCAGATTAACAAAATCAGAGAACCAATCTTTAATGGGGAACATGTGAAAAGTGCACCCAGAATCTAAAACCCACTCATTTGGGTTCCTATTGATGGTATTAACAAGGACAACCCCTTGTATATCTGGTTCTCCTTTGCAGACAACAGCTGCAAAACCATTAAAATTTTGTTTTTCTTTTGTATAAGATAATTTCTTAAAACAGTCTTTAATCAGGTGTCCCGTTTTACTACAATAGTAGCATTTTCTAATTTGATTTTTGGATTTTACTTGGTTTCTGTTTTTGTCTTTGAATTTTGAATTTTGGGGTTTACCTCTTTTATGGGAGTTGAAGTTACACATAGCATTCTTCTTATTTTGATTCTGGTTTTCTTTTATGTGTAAGCATTCACCATATCTAGAATCCTTTGACTCAACTTTCAATTCAAGTTCTCTATTTCTTAGGAAAGAGATTATTATGTCAACTGTAAGATATTGCCCCCCCATATTCCAAGGCATTTTTTATCTCCCTATATCTGTCACTTAAAGAGTTTAGAAGGCCAACAACTTGTTGATCTTTAGAGAGATTTTCATCACAATTTTCTAAATCCTGAATTAGTTTAACATATTTATCAATGTTTTCTTCTAGTCCTAAGGATGTATCAAATCTAAAATTGTAAAACTGCCTTAGAAGATAACATTTATTTGGAATATATTTAGTTAAGTAAAGGGATTCCAGCTTATCCCACAAGGCTTGTGCAGAGGTAGTTTCACCAACTTTTTCAATTACACTACCAAACAGATGAAGGAAAATAGAACTCTAGGCAATAACATCTAATTCTTGTCTTCTATATGCACTAGTTTCAGCAAATAAGTGTTATCAATAGCATGTGCACATCTCTGTTGTAACAACAGAGCCCTCAATTTTTGTCTCCATAAACTAAAGTCACCATTTCCATTCCATACATCAATCTCAATTTTGTGTGCAATGGATATGATGATAAATGTAGTGACGAAATCACAGTTATTGTAATTAAACGTGCTATTCTCAAATCTTGAAAAGGTTTAAGGAGTGGTTACCCTTCGTTCCAATACTCCCTCAGACTCCCAAGTCCTCAAATGAGACCTTGGACAAAGGAAAGCACTGGAGGGTTATTTACCTTCATAACCAGTTTCAAAGATTGACACAGGTAATCAACAATAATAAGAAGGGGGTACAGAGTATTTCAGAGACAATGCAAGAATTTAGTATAAGCACAGACAGCTCACTGTTGATAGTGACTCATTGGAAACTCAGTAAGAATCGAAACGAGTTGACTCAGCTCACCAAGGACTCGGAGTGAGTCAAGAATATCATTGTGACTCGATAGTGAGTTTAAAAATTTGACTCACCAAGGAACTCAGCACAAACAGCAGATTTCACAAAGTTAAGAATGAGTAAAAAAAAAAAAGAACTCGATGAATATCAAAAGATCTTACAAATCAACCCACAGAGTATTCAAGATTTCAAGGAGTACAATTTTTACCATCAAATTTTCAGAGAAGTATAATTTAAAAAACAAAAACTTCAAGTTTCAAAGATTTACAGATTTACAAAAAAAAAAAAAAAAAAAAAACGGTTTAAACAAAAACTTAGGGTTTTAAAAAACGTATCTAGATCCTCCAGAGAAGAAGCTCTGATACCACTTATAAGTTCTCAAGAGGTTAAATGAATACAAATTATCGCAAGATTTACTGAAAAATTAAAATTGCAGAAAATAGAAATTGAACACGAAGGATTTTTTCGCTACAAAGGCCCGGATGTTCAGCCTTACGGCCTACTCACCACGTTGAGCATCTACTAAGTAGATTTAGCTCTAGATCCACTAAAAAATTAACCAAGAATGTTACAAATGTACGAAGAAACACAAAGTTTCTTCACTGTTTTTTTATCTCGCCTCACAAACAACTATCACAACACCACCACAAACTCGCACGAAGCAGTATCACAATTATACATCAAGTGTAATATCAAAATCACTCAGATTTACAGAAGAGATTTTCACTCAGAAAATATCGATGGTGAGAGAGAAAAGAGAAACCTAGAATACACACTCAAAATAGATCTCTCTGAAAGAAAATGAGGCGTTCAAAACATTTTAATCAAGTAAGTCAATGGTCATTGATCAACGGTAAGAAAATGGCCAGATGTATGGCCAGATCATATCTTCAAGAATGGCAAAAATCGCATTTCAAGAGAACGCACTTCTCTTTGTAAATGGACCAAGACCATTTCAATAAACCCGACCCAATAGCTTTAAAGGGGCCAAGAATGTGAGGCACATTTATTTGGTCTCAACATATACCGATGGCAAGACAAAATCAAACGCCAGGATGCCGTCGAGAAACGCCTTCTGCTCATTCGCGAGCTCTGATTCCAAATCCAACGCATCCAATTCAGTCGCACACTTGAAAACTGCAATAGAACCAATTGAAAAACCCTTAGCCCTTCCCGGGGAGAAGTTCTCCCCAACAGTCAATTGCTTAATTGATGGAAACTTCTCCTTTATCCCCTTCACTACTCCCAAAATCTCGTTTTTACCACTTTCTTCAACGCCTTCCTTCAGTTTCAAAAAGGTGACCCGCAAGACTGACCCGGGAAGGACGATCATCGAACCAGTGATGTCATCAGACATCCAATCGACGGCCATGATGTCGTCGACTATGGTCCTGCCGTAGCTCGTCACGACGCTGATGTGGGCCGGGTGGTCGGCGTAGGATCCCAAGTCGGTTTTGGTTCTGTGACGGGAGTGGAGCATGTGGGTGAAATAGAGAGGGGAAGATAGAGTGCGGGCGATTTGACCGGCCTTAAGGTGGAGCACCGGATCGAGGGAGTTCAATCCGTTGAGTTTGCTGAACATGGCGTTGACTACAGAAGGATCGGCATCGGGCTTCACTTTGAAGAGCACAACGTGTTCTACAAATTGACTGGGATTGGGATTGGGATTGGGATTGGGATTGGAATTGGATGATGACAGCATTTTAATGGGATTCGAAAAGTTTGCAATAAAAATTCTTGAGAGTGGCTGCGGAGAGGAGGAGGAGGAGGAACGGAGCTGCAGCTGCTCTGGTGCCGGCACACAGTATCGTTTGGTAGTTGACTTTAACCAAAAATTGGGAAATTGAAAAGGAAAATAACAGTCTCGTCCCCAGGATATTGTCTATGTTTCGTTCTCGTCCCTAAAGTTTTAATCTCGTCCAAGGGACATGTACTTTTTTATTTTTTTTCGAAAATTGCCATTTGAATTCTAACTATTTAAAGCATAAAGCTAAAAAGTAAAACTTTTGTCTAACATGTACTAACTATAAGGTTAAAAACCTTTTTTAGGCATTAAAAATTTATGGGCGTACTCTATTTACTATACTCAACTCAGTCTTTGAAAATTAACGGAACTTGCATATGGTGGATGAAATCTTTCGTTGGCGGAATCGTAAATATGATGAATAAGTTGTCTTTTAGGATTTCCACCTGCCACGTGCCAAATTTTACATATTTTTCAATGCAGATTTGAGTATGATGACTAATGTGATGAGAAATTAGAAGTTGAGTAATCAAAATACAATACATCCATCAATTTAATGCCCAAACAAGTTTTTATTGAAAAAAACAACATATTAGCAATGTTGATACTTAAGTGTAACTGTCTTAAAAATTCATAAAGAGAAATTGGGCCCGTAATGACCAATTGGGCTACACAAAGGGGTGTCAATGAGCTGGCTTGTGAGTCGAAACTCCCGACTTGAGCTTTTTTACGTCGACTTTTTTTTGGCCCAAACCAAGCTGAGCAAAAACTCGGCCAAAAAATTAAGGCTCGACCCGAACTTTCGGATTCGACCTCGCCGAGCCGAGCCTGCTCGAATTTTTTCTTCCCTTTGCTGCCTGTTTGGCAGCTCAAATTTGCTGTAGCTGGCAGCTATAAAGCTGCCTATTGAGGCAGCTTCGAGATTATCTTTTTTTTTTTTTTTTTTTTTTTTTTTTTTTTAACGGGCCGGCTCGGGCTCGAGCTCGAGCTGACTCCCAAAAATGGGGTTCGGCCTGAGCCTCGAGCGGGGCCGGCTCCGGCATTTTTCGGGCCAAGTCACATTTGGCCCGAGCCGGAGAGCCCAATTGTCCTCCTTAGCTACACAAGTATAATTAAAACGTGGCAATTACTAATTATATCATTTCTTTTTGTAGAATTTTACTGTGTAGCACCTTCTTTGGGAAGTTGCCCACCATGAAGGTCAAATCTTTGAAATTATTCTACAATTATGTCTTGCAAGATCGGATAGAATTTTATAACTAGGCGAGCTGTGGAGAAAAGTAATGATTTTATCATCATGATTACTCTGTAGTTGAAGAATGAAAGGACTTCGAAGAATAGATTGAAGTGTAGAACAAATGAATCAATGGTGGCCTAAATTTGTATGAAATGTTTTGGGAACGAACAAAAATAAGTTGATGACATGCATGAAATGCTTTGATAACGAGTCTAAAGATGCAAACACCCCTATAATATATTCAGTATTTTGTGAAGTATTTCAAAATCAAAATTGAGATGAATCACTTTTTCGTAGAATTATCATACAAGAATCAAATTATCTTTGCTTGGCTACAAAAGTATAACTAGAAGAATTAAGAATAAAAAACTTTCACCATTCACAAAGATTTTATTTTTTGAAGGTTGTGAATAGCTTTATTTTTTTGAAGGTTGTGAATACCCACGTTGTACAAAAACAAATAAGAAAAGAGGACAAGTCATCCTACTGTATGACTGTATTTTTTGGAATAATATTGTCCCAATTTATTTGATTTTTATATTGTATGAAAAGAAAAAAGAAAAAAAGAAAAATATCATTTATCTAAATTGACTATGCTGACCATCAACAACCTATATGAATTACAAAAATTGATTTCTCATCTTAAATATGGCATATATGTTGGGAAATTTTTAATTTGTCCCGTGGGTCTATATATGTAATTAATTATGTATAAAGTTATTTTAAAGTTAAGCTCCAATTTAAAATGATCTAATAAAGAATTAAATTGTTGGACTTAGGGCATCTAAATAAAGTATGGCGTGATTATATGTGCAGAGATTCTTTTAAAATTGTATTTTATGATGGGCGAAATATATGTAAAAACTATATATAGAGTTATGGTCTCCAATTCATATATAATTTCTTATTTTTCGTGTCATATCATCAACACAAAAATAAAAGAAAAAACATATTGAAAAGAAAGATCCAAAACCTATAATCAAGAATCAAGAAGAATAAATTCAACAATCGAGACTAGATCAAGAAGCAAAACCAAGAAAATAATTAAAGAATCAATGGAGGCAAAACTCAAGATTAAAAGTGAAGAAGCCAAACATGAATAGATTGCATTAGATCTTCAAGATTCAAGATCCTGAATCAAGATTCAATAATAAAAAAATATTTCCAAAGAACTAAGGTATGTTCTACATTATTAATTTTTTTGGTTATTCGACATGGAAGATTTTGATAATAAATGAATTTAGGTTTTCAAATTCTAAAATTTCTAATTTTAAAAATTTTAAAGTTTCATAAATGGTATCAAAGCCAACTCCATGTTAAACCAGTGAGCTTAAAGGAAGAATTTATGGTTGAAATTCATATGAGTTTTGAAATCTTTTAATTTTGAATATAATTTTAGCCATAAATTTTGAAATTCAGATTTTTTTTTTTTTAAGAAAGAATTTTAGGGTTGAGAGTTATAATTTGAAATTTTCAATTTACGATATGAATTTTAATCCTAAAATTCACAATTTCAAATTTGTTGGTTTTTTTTTCCTCGAAAATTTTAATTCAAAACAGGATCCGCTGCTTTGAGGCCTCACTTTTGGGTGCTGCTGTGCCCGTCAGCTACTGTAAGACAGCACGACCAGCACTACAACGCTGGTCACGTAGCGCCGTCGCAGCGACGATTTTCGTATAAAGGGACCATCAATTTCAAATCTTGGTACTTAATATTTATTTCGGATTACTAATTTTCTAAAATAGATTAGTTGAAGCAATATGTTATCAAAGTAACCTCTTGCCTAAATTAATTTATTCGAAATATTATGGTTCTTGTGGATATTCACGGCCCAATTGAAGGTCAATATTGGACTGAACTATTTGCACACGTGTGATTATAAATATATGACATTTGTAAAGTTCTCCATTATGTGAACATTGAGTCGGTCCAAAGATATACTTGATGTTTGACTGGATTTATTGTCAATATTTGATTACTACACTAAGAGTACCATTTACAAGTTGATATTTTTGTCCAAAGACTAAATATTAATTTTATGCTCTGTCTCTTGTGATGGGGCCACCACTTTTTGAAATTATTGATTGTTCAATACGAATTTTCATGTGAACATGTTAATTAAGTTTAGGTTCTTTATTCGGTTAATCCATATACTTTTGCAATATCTGCCAACATCAATTTAATTCCCGTGTAAATGGTACTCTTGGTGTAGTGATCAAATATTGACAATAAATCAAGTCAAACATCATGGACATGTCTCAATTTGATTTCTGTGTTTGAACCAAGAATGATACAAGAACATTTGTATCATTCTTCGTGACATAGATCTAGACCTTGCATTAAGGACCAAGCAATTCATTACTCTTACGAATGAGAGATTTGCTAATAAGATGGGACTCGAATAAGTGAGATAATTCAAATTGCATAAGTCTTATGATCATGAAGCGTAAAATTTCAGCAATATTCAGAGGCGCTGTGTCTAATAAGGTAACTGCCAATGAATTTCTTAAAGAAATATTTCAAAGCGCTTTGCGAAAAATGATAAGGTTGAAACTAGTACAATTTTGGCAAACTTGATTTCACTAAAGTATAAAGCTAAAGAAAACATACGAGAGTACTTCATCGATGTGTGTCATCTTGCTTTAAAACCAATGGCATTGAAGTTTGAAATGTCAGATAATTTGTTTGTGCATAAGGTTTTGATTTCTCTTTCTGCACAATTCGATTAACTTAACATTAGTTATAGTTGTCAAAAAGGGAAATGGACTCTTAATGAGCTCATTTCATATTGAGTAAGAAGAAGAAAGTCTAAAGAAAGAGAAAACTAGAAGTACTCACTTGGTAAGTACCTCTAAAGACAAGTTAAAGAATAAGAAAATTGCATATCGTTTGATTAAAAAAATAGCAAATGCCTAAAAAGGATAAATCATCTCACTGTTACTTTTGTGAAAATCTAGGACACATAAAGAAAGATTATGCTAAATGTCACGCTTGACGTGTAAAGTCAAGTACACTTCTTATTTTGGTCTGTTCTGACGTTATTTTAGTTTCAGTACCTAGACATGCTTTGTTGATAAATTTTGTTGTCACTATTCAAATAAGCGTGTCTATGCGGCGTTGCCTAAACAGTCTAAAGTCAAGAAGTTGAAAGATTCATCTATGTGAGACGGTGACTAATTAGCTAAAGTTGGGGCTAAGAGCTTTTAAGTCATTATTAAAGACTAATTATTATTTGGATTTGAAAGATATTTGTGGTACCATCTTTTTGGACAAAAATTAAATTTTGTTTATATATTGAACAAATTCGATTACTTTTGTTCAATTGAAAATAGTTACTTTCATCTTTTTCTTAATTCAAATATTGTGGGTATCAGTTCTTTATCCGGTTATGATAACCTATATCTGCTTAATACAGTTGTCTCTTACAAAGAAACATTGCTTGTGAATTCACGTGGTATTAAACATAAATTAACCAATGAGGATTCACTTCATTATGACATTATTGTTTAGGTCACATCTCTCAAAAGAGAATTGAAAATCTTGTGTCAGAAGGAATTCTTGATTCCCTTAATTTTTCAGACTCAAGTGTTTATGTTAATTACAATAAGAGAAAACAAACCAACTTAAGGAGATAAAAACTTCAGATGTCTTAGAACTAACTCTTATGGATATCCATGGGTTATTTCCTTTGGTTTCATGGAATGGTCAAAAGTAATTTATTATGTTCGTAGACGAATTTTTCTCACTATGGCTACATGTATATCATTCATGAGAAATCCTAATCGCTGGACATGTTCAATGTTTCTAAGTTTGGGGTAGAAAATCAA